CCATTCTCCCTCCCCTACCGAAGCTGCATGCGCCCTCAATTTATTATCAAGAACCCAAGAATGGCTCAACCAACCCGAAGAATTCAAGGCTTCTTCACTCTCGGAGAAATGGAGCGAATGGAATGAATTGTTGGAAGGATCCAACATGAAGGATTCAAGAAACGTTCTTAATTGGATCATGAATGGAGTCGGTTTGAAGTTTGAAGGAACTCTTCACAACGAGCCTTGTAAGTTAGAGGAGGTTTGAAGGATGGTTAAGAATTTGATGACCGTTCAAGAATCCAAGGATGCCCTTGGAGATGAGAAACCACCCCCAATCCGTTTTCCTAATTATGATCTACCTGTTGAGGATACGATTTTCGCCAATGCTACGTTGAAAGGATTACTTAATCAAGGAGTAATTTGTGAGACTTCATCACCAATCGTCATTAACCCAATTTTTGTCATCGATAGTTGGCTCAAGAAAAAATTTATTACGGATCTAAGATTTGTCAACCTCTTTATCTCCTTCCCCAAATTTCACTGTGAGTCAATTTCTGATGTGTCAGTTGCATGTTCTTCCAATCCTATCTCGGACTTCGTAACTACTTCCGATGTTAAGAATTGATACTATCATATCAAGGTCAACAAAAAGTCCAGGGACTACTTGGCATTGGAATGGAAGAATAAGACCTTTCATTTCACTACTCTTTGCTTTGGAATCTCTTCAGCTTGTTGAATTTTCACCACTGTAATGTAATAACTCATGACAACCCTCAGGATAAGATCCATCTGCATTTTCTCCTATATTGACGACTCGCTCTTGGTTCAAAAAACTTATTTTTGTAGTCTCCGGTCATCCTTCATCTTTACCTGCCTCCTTTAAAAAATGGGCTTCTTTTTTAGTCTGAACAAATGTTATTTTCTCCCCTCTCAATGCGTAAAGTTTTATGGCTTCAAGATGGATTCTCACCTTAAGCTAACATCAATTCCGGAAGAAAACTCCCTCAGAATTTGCAGGACCATACAACTACTGTTATCAAAACCTGCAGTCTCAAGCAGGGAAATCTCTTCTATTGCTGGAAAATTGGCCGCACTTGCCAATGTCTTCCAACCCGCTGTAACCTTTTGCTTCAATCTTCACCAAACCATCAATCCCAATGCATGAGACGACCTAATTCCCCTCTCAGACGAAGCAAGAGACGACCTCAATTGGTGGTTAACTAACATTTTTCACCTTCTAGGGAGAAGTTGGAAGATCAAATCTATCGAAATCACCATTCAAACTGACGCTTGGACCATGCCATTGGAGCAATCGTCTATCACAATCAAAAAAAGGAAGAAAGATTAAGTTTTTCTCTTCCTGATAACTGGCTATCAACTTCCAATACCCACTGGGAATTATTCGGGGTTCTGACCACTCTATCTTTCATCCGCAAATGTTTCAACCTTCCATCCAAAGATGGTGCGGTTGAGATTGTTGGGGATAATGCAGGGGTAGTTGCATTGCTCAAGAACTGGAAGACTCCCGATTGCAGAATGAACCACCTCCTAAGAAGGATTGCGTCTATCCTTCTTGATGCCTAAGGGCAACTCAAACCTATTTGGGTTCCTAGCTCCCTCAATATTGACGTTGACTTCCTTTCAAAATGGCAAGATCCGACTGACTGGGTTCATGTGTCCTCTTGCTTTATCTCTGAAATCTGGTGTGAAGATTGCAACGATGTGGACGCTCTATCCTTGAATTGGCAGGAATTTCAGGCGGACTCATACCTATGGCTTTTTCCACCAGCATCCTTGCTCTGCCAGGTAGTCAGAAGAATGAAGACGTTCGGAGGAGAATACCTACTCATCACTCCTTCAGCTCCAAGACTGGCTTGGTCACCAATGGTGGTAGCAATGAGATGCTCTAGAACTTTCGAGATACCTAGCATTCCGTCTTCTTGTTTGCCAAGCTCCAGAGTGTCCAAGAAAACTCTCAATCCTGATACCTTCAAGCTAATGGCTAGAAGAGTCTCGTTGACGGCAAGCCCCGCGAGTATGACATCCATACCCGTACCGAACGAAAGATGATAAACTCTTCCAGGAACCTTGAGTTAGCATCTGCTCCAAGATCCATCCACGGCGGATTCCCTCACGAACTCCACCAACCCGGAAACTATGACTACTTCCAGACCCATCCAATCCAACTTTTTCAAACCACATTCGCAATCGCCGGTTGAAGGCATTCAGAGTAAGAGCTTTTTGTGATCGACGTCCTCGAAAAATGGATCCAGACTGAAGATTTTCACCTAACTCAAGGTAGCAACAACTCATCTCTTCATACAACTCAAGGAAGGTGTCTCCACGACCAGCAGGTTTCTCCAAATTTATCACCATTGATTTCCCTCTCCGTTGTGTCTTTGTATATCTTGGCTGCGCCATCTGAGTAGCTACACCTATCTCATTTCTTTCCAAACGAAGACCTTCACCACCTCGCTGCCAACTTTCCCAGAGATAAGTCATTATGCACGAGTCTCGAAGTGATTCAGCATATTCTCAACCCTTCTGACATTTCATGAAGGTCCGAATGCAATTTCGAAGTTGGTCCAACTTCTCTTGTATCATAGGTGAAGCTTGTTTTTCATGAACACCTAAGCGGACTGCCTTATTTCGATACGCTTGACGATACATTCGTACACTAGACGATTGACAAGGATTTGCGGCATTTTCTCGTCCAAGAAGTTCAAAGCATCGACTAAGGCTACTGATATTTCCTTTCCAGAGTACTAACAACAACAAAGTTTTGACCATTTCGATCCTTGGTCTTAGATCGACCCTGCAAGTCAGGTATCAAGCACCCTTCTATAAAGGCCAGAACATCTAAGTCAACACAGTCTCCTAGGCTCCTTCCAACTCCTTTTTGCTCCAACCATTGACTAAGATTCCATATCAATCGTCCTCGCTCTCGATCAATGTTTCCTCCTACTCCATGATCTGCGATCAAATCAACACTTTTCAGAAGACCTTCTTCATATGAGCCTCCTGAAATGCTCTTGCCCTGAGAAACTCTCTTTATGCTCTGTCCTAGAAGCCGCTCCAGCCACGACAACCTGCAATCAGTTTTACCTCATTATCATTCAAATTCCATTCTCATTTCATTTCAGTCAGCTGATGCATGAAGAGTGATGAACTTTGGGTTGGTTAGGAGGTGCTGGACCCTGAAACCAGGGCAATTGTTCTATGGAAACCTCCAAGTTATTATTGATTTTTGGCATCCTGTACTTCGTTTCTTGCTGGATTCTCAATCTTCTATGGATTTGAGGTCATCATGAGGGAGATCCCACTAGCATTGTATGTGGAGTAGTGTAGAGGGCGTGTGACCCACCTCCGTCGTCGATGGGAATGGGGATCGGTGGTTTTGTTTTTCCTGTATTTTAGCCCTGGAAAATATATATTTTTTTGGAGCATCCCATTGGGTGGTCTTTCTTTTGTTTTGCTTGTCGTGTTCCTCTGGGGGTCCCGAACGTGAGTGAAAATCAGACCCATTTTTTTTGTGTTACTTTTCACTCACCTTTCACTCACCTTTGGGTTGTGGCCCATGCATGGAAGAGAGGCCGAAAACAAAATTTTCCGGGCATGTGCCCCCTTATTTTTTGGGAGGTGATCCCCTCACCTACAGCAAATGGTGTATGGTGTTACTCTTGCCCTTGTTTTTTTACGTTCAGTTTCCCTATTTCACGCTGCCACCCACCTGTCCCCCACCCGTCCCCCACCCGTCACACTAATCCACATACCTGGCTAGTGGGATCTCCCTCCAGGACCTCCGAACATCAACACACAACTCTCTCTTTTTTTTTTTTTTCGCGCCAAACGCTGTCAAAATGTAAAAAGGATAATATGGCAGATGCATCTGGCCATGTTATAGCGGGACATGCTTGCATTATTCCCATGTTCAAGATTCAGTTCGGAAAGAAATAGTGGATCGAGGCCCATATTTTCAATTCCTTTCGAAAGGGGCAGCCTTCTTCCCCCCCCCCCCCAAAAAAAAAAAAAGAGTGGGCTTCGGAAACGTGAAAGGGCGTTGTGTCATAGCGTCCTTAGGCCCTCGTCGCGTGGTATCGCCGCACCGCTTACCAATTACCAAGTGTGAAAAACACAAAAGATAGGACGGATGTATATTGCGGCCCCTCTGGCGCAAGGTACATTCGCCGCGTTGCGCTTTTTTTTCTTTTTTGCCAACCATCAATTGCACATTTAGTGAGCACCACGTGCGGCGAGGAACCATTTGAAAGAAAGGGCATCGCCACACCACTCTCGAAAAGTGCAAAATGCGAATGAACCCCTCCCAGAACATGGCCAGAAGCACCCGCCACATTTTTGTCTTTTCCACATTTCGAGAGTGGTGTGGCGAGGCCCAAAAAAAGGGGGCGGGCGGGGTGAGCTCGCTCCGGAAACATGGGAGAAAAAAAGAGAGAAAAGAAGGAAGAAAAAAAAAAGAAAAGAGAAAAAGGGCGTCGCTCCACTACTGCGTTCGACATGTGCCAAAACGGGAGTGAATCTTCCGCTAGAAGATGGACAGATACACCGCCATGACCTCAAATTTGTCGTCTGTGCATGTCGAGAGTAGTGGAGCGAGGCCCAAAGCTGCATGGTGCTGGGCGATGGCTACCGCAGTCTGCTTCTTTCAAATTCTTTCAAATTGGAAAAAAAAACGGAAAATCAAAACGGAAAAAAAAAAAAAACACGGAAAAGGACAATGACCCTGTCGAGCAGCAAGGGTCGTTAGTTTATTATCATTTAGTTATTATTAATATTAAGAACAGAAATCTGTCGGCCAACAAAGCAGTTTGCTGGGCCGTTGATCTCCCCCGTATCCCTGTCACTCCTATCATGAGAGAGAGAGAGAGAGAGAGAGAGAGAGAGAGAGAGAGAGAGCGGTGATCTCGGTGCGAGAGGCAGATCTACTGCGAGGGCACTTTTTCCCCATAGCCAGCCGTCGGCGTGCTCTGCTTCTCATTTCTTGCCGTCGATGGGAGAATCCGAGTCGGGACAAGAACAGATGTGTTTGTTTTTTTTTTTTTTTGGGAAATAAGAACAGATGTAACAACAAGGACCAGCAATTTGTTTGAGTGGGAAAAAAAACACAAGTGCGACGGTACACAAGCCACAGGCAAACGACTACGGTAGCCATAAAAAGAGGAAGAATCCGAGGGAGAATGAGGAAGTGGAAGAGAGAAATTCAGAATACTGCGGTGGTGGAAGAGAGTGGCCAAGCGAAGACGAAGCAGAGGTTGAATTGTTGACGTCCCCGGCGCGTTCTTTCCACAGCACATTAATTTCGTTGCGAGGGAGGGAGGGAGGGGTGGGGCGAGAGTGAGGGCATATATACCCACTGGAGGACTTGGGCGTTTCTGGATGTCTTGAAATTGGTAGAAACGAAGGGGTAAGAGAAAGCGAAGGGCGTCGGGCGAAGGGAGGCGCAGCTTTTTATCTCGTCGGATAAGGTCGGAGGAGGAGATCGGATAAGAACGGGATAGGGATAGTTGTTTTGGATAGGCAACCCGATCGGGATAGTTTTGGATAAGGGAGAAGGTAATCGAGAGAAGGCAGGCGGAGGTTTTAACATCGGTTTAAAGATCGGGATCAGGTAAGAGAGGATAAGATCGGGACAGTGTTGAGGCCGAGCTTTTGACATCGGGTTAAGATCGAGATCCGTGTATGGTCGGATAAGATCTCGATCGGGACACTGTTGCATAAGTTAGCAGGGAGTTGGGGACGCAGGCGAGCGTGATCTCGCTTCCCTCGGCTACTAGGAAGGGGGGGGGGGTGGAGGGGGAAGAAGAAGGAAGGAAGGAAAGGGAGGTAGAGGAGAGAAAAAGGAGGGTGGGGGGTCGAATTGTCGAGGGCTGAGAGTGGCTGGGTGTCGATAGTCGATCAGCGTCACAGCGATGGCGGCGGCGACGGCGTTTTCGGCGGGCTCGCGGCATGCGGTCAGGGTACGTGTGTGTTCGATTCGTCCACTTGAATAGTGTGACAATTCTCTCCGCTGTTATTGTTGACGAAGCCGTTTTTTTTTTTTTTTTTTTTTTTTTTTTTTTTTTTTTTTTTTTTTTTTTTTTTTTTTTTTTTTTTTTTTTTTTTTTTTTTTTTTTTTTTTT